CACTCTACCATTTTCCGGCTCAAGACCATGGCCTCGGATTTGGAGGAACTGATCCTCATCCCAGCCGCGTTGCACTCAGCTGTGAACCGCTCCAGCGAAAGCTGTAGATCACGATCTGATGAAGACAATAGGACCACATTATCTGCAAAAAGCAGAGACGCAATCCTAAGGCCACCAAAACAGATCCCCTCAACACCTTGGCTGCGCCTAGAAATTCTGTCCATAAAAATTATGAACAGAATCGGTGACAAAGAGCAACCTTGGCAGAGTGCAACTCTCACCGGGAACGAGCCCGACTTACTGCCGGCAATGCGGACCAGGCTCTGACACCGGTCATACAGGGACCTAACAGCCCATATTAAAGGGCCCGGTACCCCATACTACCAGAGTCCCCTACACAGGGTTCCTCGAGGGACACGGTCGAACGCCTTCTCCAAGTCCACAAAGCACATATAGACCGGTTGGGCAAACTCCCACGCACCCTCCAGGACCCTGCTGAGAGTGTAGAGCTGGTCCAGTGTTCCACGACCAGGACAAAAACCGCACTGCTCCTCCTGAATCCGAGGTTCGACTATCTGACGGACCCTCCTCTCCAGAACCCCCGAATAGACCTTACCAGGGAGGCTTAAGAGCGTGATCCCTCTGTAGTTGGAACACACTCTACGGTCCCCCTTTTTGAATAAGGGGACCACCACCCCGGTCTGCCAATCCAGGGGAACTTCCTCCAATGTCCACGCAATATTGCAGAGTCGCGTAAGCCAACACAACCCTACAACATCTAGAGCCTTAAGGAACTCTGGGCGCATCTCATCCACCCCCGGGGTCCTGCCACCGAGGAGCTTTTTAACCACCTCTGTGACCTCAGCACCAGAGATTGGAGGGCCCGACCCAGAGTCCCCAGGCTCCGCTTCCTCGGTGGAAGACGTGCCAGTGGGATTGATGAGATCTTCAAAGTATTCTGCCCACCGACCCACGACATCCCGAGTTGAGGTCAGCAGCGCACCACTCCCACTATAAACAGTGTTAGTGGCATACCACTTTCCCCCCCGAGACGCCAGATGGTGGACCAGAATCGCCTCAAAGCCATGCGGAAGTCATTCTCCATGGCCTCTCCAAGCTCCTCCCATGCCTGAGTTTTTGCCTCAGTGACCATCCGCTTGAACTGCCGGTACCCATCAGCTGCTTCTGGGGTCCCACAGGCCAAAAAGGCCCAATAGGACTCCTCCTTCAGCCTGACAGCATCCCTCACTGACGGTGTCCACCACCGGGTTTGAGGGGTGCCGCCGCGACAGGCACGACAACCTTGTGGCTGCAGCTCTGGTAAGCCGGAGGCACGGAGGCACGGAGGCACAGAACATGGTCCTCTCAGACTCGATGTCCCCCACCTCCCTTGGAACATGTTCAAAGTTCTGCCGGAGCTGGGAGTTAAAACTTAGTCTCACAGGAGACTCTGCCAGATGTTCCCAGCAAACCCTCACAACACGTTTGGGTCTGCCAGGTCTGACCGGCATCCTCCCCCACCATCGGAGCCAACTCACCACTAGGTAGTGATCAGTGGACAGCTCCGCCCCTCTCTTTACCCGAGTGTCTAAGACATGTGACCGCAGATCAGATGAGACGACGACAAAGTCTATCATAGAACTGCGGCCTAGGGTGTCCTGGTTCCAAGAGCACATATGGACACCCTTATGCTTGAACATGGTGTTCGTTATTGACAATCCATGATGAGCACAGAAGTCCAAGAACAGAACACCACACGGGTTCAGATCGGGGGGCAGTTCCTCCCAACCACACCCCTCCAGGTCTCACTGTCATTGCCCACGTGAGCATTGAAGTCCCCCAGCAGAACAAGGGAGTCCCCAGGAGGTGCACTTTCCAGTACCCCCTCCAAGGACTCCAAAAAGGGTGGATAATCTGAACTGCCGTTTGGTGCATAAGCACAAACAACAGTCAGAACCCGTCCCCCCACACATAGGCAGAGGGAGGCCACCCTCTCATTCACCGGGGTGAACCCCAACACACAGGCACCAAGATGGGGGGCAATAAGTATGCCCACTCCTGCTCAGCGCCTCTCACCAGAGGAGACTCCAGAGTGGAAGAGTGTCTAGCCCCTCTCAAGGAAACTGGTTCCAGAGCCAGAGCAATGCGTAGAGGTGAGTCCGACTAGTTCTAGCCGGAACCTCTCAACCTCACACACCAGCTCAGGCTCCTTCCCCACCAGTGAGGTGACATTCCACGTCCCAATAGCCAGCTTCTGTTACCGAGTGTCAGACCGTCTGGGTCCCCGCCCTCGGCCACCACCCATCCCACATTGCACCCAACCCCTTTGGCCCCTCCCACAGGTGGTGAGCCCATGTGAAGGGGGACCCACGTCTCCTCTTCGGGCTGTGCCCGGCTGAGCTCCATGGGTAAAAGCCCAGCCACCAGGAAGAAGTAATTTAATCATAAATCCGGTGTGTTGGAGCAGAGAAACAAGTAAAATATGCAAATAGCAGCCCTCAAAGACCGGGATTAGACACCACTGATTTAGAGTGATACTAACACAAAGACTGGAAGGAAAAAAAAGTTTTAAAGAAGCTATAAACAAAACATATTTATATGTAGAATCATATGTTACTCCTATTGATTGACATGAATACTTTTAAAAGTCAGACAAGCTGATTCCAACTGATGACAGCAGTCAACATGCATCACTAAACCTCAGAAACCTCAAGATCTGAAAAACACTCGCTAACACAGTTACAGTAAATACAGTAAATAAAGCTTCAGGTCATTCGCAGTGAACCAAACAGATTCATAAGCAGCACAATGCTTGTCCCCCATGGTTTTTACAACTATAATGACTACTTTGCCCAATTTACCTAATTTTATTTTAGAACACAATTGCAAAGCTTGGCAGCACGGTGGCGCAGTTGGTAGAGCTGCTGCCTCTCAGTGAACAGGTTACCATGGTTCAAATCCTGATCCAGGGGCCTTACTGGGTGGAGTTTGCATGTTCTCTTCGTACATGTGTGGGTTTTCTCCGAGTACTCCAGTTTCCTCCCACAGACTAAAAACATGCATGTTAGGCTGATTGGTAACAATTGTCTCTAGGTGTGAGTGAGAGAGTGAATGATTGTTTGTCTCGTTTGTCTCTATGTGTCCCTGTGATGGACTGGAGACCTGTCGAGGGTGTACCCTGCCCCTCGCACAGTGATTGCTGGACATGGGCACCGGCGACCCCCATGGCCCAAAAGTGGAAGAAGCGGGTAAAAGATAATGGATGGATGGAAGTTCTGCCCAAGACTGACTGAAAGATGTCCTCTTTACTTAGAACTTATCCAAACCAGGCACACTGTCTGCTGAAACTGAAATCACTGACAGTTTCAGCTGTTTTGGTTAAATCTTGAGGAAATAAAAACGTTATGCGTAATTTCACTTCACAGTGCAAAATGTCATCTGATAGCACTCAGAGTTTATGTTGGGAAAGACTCTCAGCTACTACCACATTAAACTTTAACTCATTATCTGCATTAAAAACTGAGTAGTAGCCAGTTTTGTGTTGTCTTAGGTTGATTAGCTGTGGCGGCCGTCATGACAACTTTCTGTCATTATAATTTTTTCACAAGATATTTTGACAACTCTGCCAACACCCACAGACACTGGCAAAAACATTATTGACTGCAGTTTACCTTTCCTAATCCTGCAATATGTAATGAAATTACAGTGTAATTTAAAACTAACACCAATGTAAAGGTTTATAATTTGTTCAGATGAACCGCTGTGGTTTTTTTTTTAGGATTAAAGCTGTTTTAAGACTTCGGCAATCCACTTTGGTCTTGACCCTGTTTAGACTTGCCATGCGCTCATAAAACCAGTCAGAATCAAACACTATATATCCAAGCTAAGGTCGGTCAGAGCCAACTACAATATGTAAAATAATAACTGTACATAACTTTTCCTCATAACCTTTCAAAATATAACTAATTCTTAAAATCCATAAACGTATGAATGATGTCATGACTGTACGGAGGTGTTGAATGACAAAATCTTGGATTAACGTTCTAAAGTTTGCAGTATCCTGATTCATGCTCAATAACCAGGTAGAAAAATCCAACAAAGTTAAGTCAGGTCCTCTGGATGCTTTATTTTTGTTGAAACATTGAAGACGTTGATGAAAGATGAAACGTTTCAACAACAAACAAAAAAACTGACAACGTTGTTGGATTTTTCTACCTGGATTATTGAACATGAATCAGGATATTTTGAACCACCATGATTGCCACAGACTGGTTCAAGAGCTTGAGCAGGTGGCAGGGGAGAGGGCAGACTACAGAAACCACCTGAGCACCATCAAACTGGTTGATCCACTATGAGAAGGTGCTATTTATAAGAATGAGTTTGTTGTGGCTCTGAAGACTGATGAAGTCTTTTGGATGAAAGACGAGAAGTTTAAAAAAAAGAAACCATCCAGAGGACCTGACTTAACTTTGTTGGATAAAGTTTGCAGTATTTCTCTAAATGTTGTTGGGATACTTAAATCTGTGCAATGTTGGATTATCAAATAATATTGCCATTTTTTAATCTTGTAGCTGACTGTAAATAAAGCTGTTGTAATTTACTACACACATTTTTTGAGTCAAGCTTCTTTCATAACACATCCCTCTAAATTATGCAGACATTAAATAAAACAACCGGTGCCTGAGACATCGGTGTGTCACTGCTTCCTGAGCGAAACCTTTCCACTCAAACGGCTCAAGGGCCGTGGCATACAAATGCTGACCTTCTTCTGGCATTTCAACACACACTCGTAAGCACTAATCATTGACACGCTTCAAATAGGAATATTTTTGTTGGAAAAGCCTCCACTTCACCCATTAACTCAAGGGAACATCCTTTTTGTGAAGCAGTATAAAAAGCGGCGAACTCACTTGAAAAGAGATCCAGCTTCAGCTGCAGGATTCAGTCATACAAAAACACCTACTTGTCTTTTTAAAGTGCAATCTGTTTGCACCGTGCTCAAGATGTTTGTAGATGAGCGGATTGTAACTTTGTTCAAACGAAACGCCCATCACACGTTGACTTACTGGAGTGTTTTCTTCAGCTTCGGACTCAGCATTGCTTTCCTCGGACCTACGATTTTGGACTTGCAGTGTCAGACAAACTCAACTCTTAGGCAGATTACCTGGGTTTTCTTTGCCCAGCAGTTCTGTTTGTTAATCGGCAGCTCTGTTGGGGGTGTTTTTAAGAGAACGTAAGCTCCTCTGACACATTTAGGCCTGTGTGCAGGTACAGAAATGACCTGATGTAGCTGCATCTGTCTTATTTTGTGTGTTGTTCAAGGTTATTCCGCGCTCTAGCTGCCCTGTTCATCTCTGCTCTTATCATCTCTGTAATATTTGCCATCATTCCTGTGTGCAACAATGTCCTGGTGCTGGCCATTGCCATGGCAGTGTCTGGTTTGGCGATGGGTGTTATTGACACCATTGCCAACATTCAACTGGTGACCATCTACCAGAAGGACTCAGCTATTTTCTTACAGGTGATATTCTTTGTGGTAACTCAACCTTATCCCCAATAACACTGACGCTGTAGTGCTCACCTTTAGTTGACCTGATTCTGCAATTACCGGTACTAGTAGGACTTCTTATACACGCAGAAGTTAGTCAGTAGAAGTTCATTGTTAAGTTAGGAGATAATTAGATTCTGTAGCTATTTAAAAGCTGCAGCTGTTTGATGTCCCTGGCCTTTCTCTACTTTTGCAGGCTCTGCACTTCTTTATTGGGTTCGGTGCCCTGGTGAGCCCGCTGATTGCAGATCCGTTCCTCTCCGAGTCGAGCTGTGGGAATCACACAGGAAACGAGACAGAGATCATACATCATTTCAGGAACATGCTGAGAAACAGTCCGATCGCAGAGCACAACATTACTCAGAGCCACCTTCCTCATGAGGGAGGGGAGATGGAGGGGTCCAGTGTGCACTACGCTTTCTGGATCATGGCACTTATTAATGTAAGAAACTCAGCAGACATGCTTAAGTCATTCATCTTTATTTTTAACGTTAGGGGTTTTTTTTTTTTCTCTGATTTGATAGTCTTGGGGAAAAAAGTTTAAAATCTCTTGTTTTTCTCTTTGCCATCAGCTGCCTGTGCCCCTTGCAGTTCTGTTTCTCATGTATCGGGAGCAGTTAATCCCATGCTGCACCAGCGGCCCTCCTCGTCTTTTGGACAAAGATGAACTAGCCATGGAGAGCCAGCAGGGGGCCGAGGGCCCAGACTTGGAGCAGAAGGAACAAGAAGCAGGAGGTACAGATTTAAAAAAAAAAAGTGTTTGCTTGATTTTTAACTTCAATTTTTCATAACTATTGAATATTGTACTTGTATTTTCTGTCAGCTACAAAAAAAAAGTTTCATTTTGTGCGCACCAAAATGTCAGTGATGACTTTTCGCTCTGTTGCAGGTCACGGGAGCATCTTCAGCTGCTGTCAGAATGATAACCTGCGCGGGCTGCCTGTATCCTTCTTCATGATTCATATCCTTGGAGGGATGGTGCTCTTTATGACTGATGGCATCGTGGTGAGTGATAAGTGCAATAAATCACGACATTCATTTTACCATTTTTCACATAAGTGTTTATGTACAAGATCTGCATCACACAAAGAAAAGAAAGTAAGATGTATGAAATAATCTAGACTTATTTTCTTTTCAGGGTGCCTATGCTGGTTTTGTGTACACCTACGCTGTGGCACCACCGATGTCATTGCCTCATAAGACAGCCGGTTACCTGGCAAGCATCTTTTGGGCAGCCATCACTGCTGGACGTCTCCTGTCCATACCTCTCTCTTATCGTTTCCAGCCTGTAAGACTGCTCATGTTCAACCTGGTAAGGCCAATAAATGATTCAGAGGGTCAATTTGATCTATAAAATAAAGCCTTGATAATAAATACACAATGTATGTTTGTTTTTCCAGGCAGGAGCTATTGTTACTGTGTTGTTGCTGCTCATTTTCTACGCCAGCAAAGAGTTTCTGTTTGTGGGAACCTGTTTATGTGGACTTTTCCTTAGCAGCATATTCCCCTGTATGCTTGCCTATACTGAAGACATCCTTGATTACCAGGGTATGACAAAGTCTTTACTGCACAGCACTAACAGTGGAATCAAAGTGAGAGAACATGAAATAACGCGTGCATTTTGATTTGCAGGATGTGCGACCTCGGTCTTGGTGACAAGTGCAGGGATGGGAGAGATGGTGATGCAGGTTCTAGTTGGCTCAGTAAGTCGGATGAATTGAGTTTTTTGTTTCTACAAATAATACACAAAAGTGCAAAATTACGGGTACTAATAATACTTAGCGGTATAGTCTCCTGGTGCATGCTTTAATAATCCAGGTAGATGAATCTAACAAGGTTGAGTCAGTTCATCTAGACGGATTCTTTGTAGAAATGTTTTGTCTTTTATCCAAAAAGTTTCTTTAGTCTGGGGCGCTGCAACAAACTCAGTCTTACAAGCAGCACCTTTGCAAACGGGATCAACCAGCATCCTGGTGACAGCCAAAACTAGCTGTTCACATGATAAAGGAGGCCCATCAACCTAACATGATGGCTGCTTGCTATTCACAGAGGGCTGAGACAGCAGTCTTGTTGTTCTTTGGACAGATTTAAAAGAATCCGTCCAATGGACCTGAATCAAATTTGTTAAATACTTAGTCCTGTTCAGGTGTTTCCATCACAATTTTCCATTTGTTTCTCCTCCTGAGTTTTAGAAAACCTCATAAAAATACATCAAAAGATCAGTCTGGATCAAGAATAGCACATTGTGATTATTTTCTGTGCCATACATCATGTGACACGGACTACATTCATATAAAACTGCCAAAAAAATGTATAAATACATAACAATGGGATTTTTACAGCATGAGCCCTCAAATTGATGATGTCAGTCCACCAACTTTTGAGCTGTCTAAACTTTCCAAATAAGTTTTGCATACATATTTGTTTTAGTCCTTTAAACTTTGCACTTTTATATTTATATGTTATACTTCAAAACATAAGAATGTTTCTTTGTTTTCACCCAGTGTCTCTCTTACTGCATACGTCCAGATTTTCTTGTAGACAGTCACTGACTTCTATCATCTCTGAGAATTTTCTCTTCAACACTAGAGCCAAGTTTCTTTTTTTATTATTTTTTTACTTTGTCATATCTCCTACATAAAACACTGAAGACACATACAATTTGAACTTTGGCGCAATAAGATGCTTCTCACATGTACAGTTTATTGGTTTTGTTTCAACACAGCCCAAAGTTTTTGCAGTTTAATTTCTACTCTGCGTTTGTGTCGGTTCTGTCAGGGATTGAGAGAGTCAGGTGTGTGGTTACCATGGTGACTCTGAGCCACAGACAGCAGTTTTAGTATTTTTTTTACTGGTTCTCCTTATATTTTCTTATACATCTTATGCCTAAAAACTTTTTGTCATAGTTTAAAATATTACCATATTTTTTGGACTATAAGGCGCATTAAGCGAAACTAAAACATTTTGGCAGATGTTTGAGCACCGTGTACCACATAAAATTGGTTCGAGGTCAGTAAGCACAACCAGAATTAAAACAAGGTGCACCGGATTATAAGGCTCACTGTTGATTTTTGAGAAAATGAAAGGATTTTAAGTGTGCCTTATAGTCTAAAAAATACGGTACATAAGTCATAAGTTGCTCTTTGGCTTTACTGAAGATGTTGTTTGTTCAAATGTTGAGAAGTAGCTGGACTGGCACCCTTCAAAATGTCTTCAGTTTTTCCATTTAGACCTGTAGTTACAATAAAAGCCCAGTAGTGGTTTAAATTCACGTTGGGTAATGTTTCCATCTTCCCCACAGATTATTCAGACTGAGGGCAGCTACAGCTTCCTGCTGTGTGGAATGATAATCGCCTGCATCGGTTTTATCCTCTTCGTTGCTCTCCTGCTGTTCCATCGAATGCACAGAAATTACCTCTCAGGTACCAACCAGAATCCTCAATCACTGCTTACATGTGCAGAAAGCTTCTTGGCTTTTTTGTTCGTTTGTTTTTTAAAACCCTTTTCTACAAACCTCCTGACTTCCCACCAGGAACGTTAAAGAAGTCAGCGATGGTGGAGGAACCAGCAGCAGAGCCCAACGGGTCGGCCAGAACAGAACAAAAAGAGGACAATGACACGACCACGAGTCAGTAGCTCAGCGTTTTCAACCAATCTTCTCTTGTGTCAATTGCAAACATTTATCAAACTAGGCGTTATTGTTCTGCTTTATATATTGTTCATTATGATACAGTTCAGTAGTTTAAAAGTTTTTTTTTTTTTATTGTCTGAATTTTTACCAAGTTACCCTCCAGCTTTAAATGTTTCAACATGTGGAGGGAAGAACTTTGTTCTCAGAGCTTGAAAATCAAGTTCAAATATCAAACAACGTCATTCAACATTTCAACGGTTAACAGTGAATCTTGAACGTCACACTTACCGTATTTTTCCGGTGTATAAGTCGCAGTTTGTTGCATAGATTTGTCAGTCCTGTGACTTCTGCGCCGAAGCGACTATGGATTTTTATTTCCATATTCATAACGCAATTTTGACTGATTGTTAAATGTTCATTCATCCTGACATGAACCAGAGTAAACATTATCATTTGCAGCTGCTAGAGACACGACAGGGCCCTCTAGGCTTTTGACAACTACCGGTAGACGCATATGTTGTTCATGTACCGCTAACCCTGCCCAACATTGACCATTAAAGTACATTTATTCAGAACAAAGTTCAACTGAGACACACCTTTGCTATAATGTCAAGCAAACAAATAATTGTTTTTAAGTGTTAATCTTGTTAAATTTTGAAGAACTGCAACAGCCAGTCCTCCTGTGTGCGCTCCCGTGGCCACTAATCAATTTTTGGCACAACACCGGCTCACATTTCCCAGGGGTCAGCGATGACGCATAATAAACGCGACTTATTCTCCGAAGCGACTTTTATATGTTTTTGTTTTTTTTTCCCTCTTCATGATGCTGCATGAAAATACGGTAAAACCTGTTGGAACAATAACATGAGCCGTCACTTTACCGAGATGTTTTATACGTGGATTTCACAATGATTGTTGAATGTTACGTCTTACATGCCTGTTTTACGAGTGAGGTGTTTGTTCTTTAAATAAAGTTTGGTACCCAGGTTCTTTGTTGTGGCTCCTAATGATGCTGTAAAGCAGCTGTTCCTAAATGTCAGGTCAGGAGGATTTTCAAACACAAACAGGGAAGTTTTCAGAAGATAAACAAAAATCAAATAATCTTTAAAAATGATTGCCAATAGCATTATCAGCCTTATTTGTTTAAAAGAAATAAAAACAGTACTCATGAATGGATTTAAAAAAAACATAAGGGTTGATGAGACTCTTTGTTAAATGATGTAAAAATGAACACTACCTTATGGGTTAAACTGAAAATTTTAAACGGCACTGGTCGAAAGTAACTCTTTGCAGCCGGTTAACTTCAGAACATTTCACTGTGATATAAACTTTGCAGTAAACTAGTGTTTACTTACCTGCAGCATGACTTCACATACAAACACGAAATCTAGAAAGGAAACCGTGTGATGCATTTGTTCTTATTATATAACCTGTGGATGGAAAAGGAGCGAGTCTTCATATCCTTGAAACATTTTTTCATGTTATCGCCACAGCTGCACACCATCACACAAACGGCTCTAACAAAAGGACAATTAAACCCTGTGGGTGTTTACCAGATTAAACTTGAAGCTTTCAGTGTTGTATTATTAATAATACTGTCACTGATTTACATTGCAAGTGGCGTGGGGAAGCAGTGGTTAGAGTTGTCACTTGACAGCAAGAAGGTTGCAGGTTCACCTCCTGCCTTGGCCTTTCTGTGGGCGGTTTACATGTTCCCTCCATGCATGTGTGGGTTTCCTCCCACAGATCAAAAACATACATGTGAGATTGGGGAGAGTGTGAAGTTGGTTGTTGGTCTCGCTTGTCTCTTATTTGTCCCGGTGATGGACTTGCGACCTGTCCAGGGTGCAACCCCCCCACCCCTCCTCTCTCCCAGTGACCACTGGAAATACAAGCTCCTGCAATCCTGCACAGAAAAGCAGGTAAATAAAATGGATGGATGTGGGGCAGCTGTGGCTGAGAGATTAGAGAAGTCACCCTCCAGTGCAAGTTGGGGGTTCAATTCTACCAGCAGTCACATGCTGAAGTGTCCCTGAGCAAGACACTGAACCCCTCATTGTCTCCAATGTGCCCCATCGGTGTCTGAATGTGATAAAGCTCTGATTAGTCTTTAGATCTAGTAGAGTGCTGTATGAATGGGTAAATGAGGACAAGTAGTGTAAAGTACTTTGAGTATTTTGATGAGATAGAAAATAACTATACAAGTGCAATCCATTTACCATTTATGGATAGTTTACTGTATGGACGTCTGAATTTTTGTGTCTCGATTAAAATATTATTGCAACAATGGCAGCTTTTATTTGCAATAATTTCTTTAGTTGAAGACTGAACTACTTTGATTTAAAAAAAATAATGGGAATATATAACACAAACCACCATCATCATTCAAGATTGCTTCATTACAGCTGAAAGAAATTAACAGTTTCAGGATTCTTGGGAGGGAAATAAATGAAGTGAAAATATGAACTTGGTCTCCAGAACTCTCGCTTCTGTGATTTTACACTTCTGTTGACTAAAGGTTGCAAATTTAAACCAACAGAGAAACTATTGTTGTGGTATTTTACCCAGCACTGGTTGATATTTGATTCAGATACTTTAGATGAAGCCAAACAGGTCACTGGTGTGTCACAGCAAAGAACCTGTCTCACCAGTGCAGTTGCTACACCAAAGGAACTTGCATGTCATGGCACTGGTTGTATTCAGGACTCTGTGGAAAAGAAAGAGAATGGCTCATGTCAACAAAGTGTCACTCCTGACTGCAGAGTGTTAGTGAAACCCCATTATGTTGCTGTTTATAGGTTTGGGAGCAAACACACACTGGTTCAAATGCTTGCTGACCCAAGTCTGATTAGCCCAATCAGTGGTGTCCTTTTGGGTCCACACATCGGAGGATGGGTCTTGTTGGCCTTTTCCTCAAAGGAACACTCATCTGTTGAATGTCATCCCAAATAAAATATTTAGCACTGAACTTCAAATTTCATAATCTGTAATATGTCAAGGTTTAGCCACAGGGATTTACCGTGGTGCCATGTCTTGTTCGGCATTGTGCAGAAACCTATTCAAACCGTGTTGAGAACAAGGGAGTTTTCCAGCAGACAAATGTTTGGGGGAATATCCGCAGGAGGCCTTCTTGCATTCAGTGTCACCATTTGTGAGTTGCTAATGTGAGATTAGAAATAGATTGAAGCAAAGCAGGCTCAGTTTTTAGAGGAACGTTTATTATCATCCCACGAAGCCAATTTATCTTGGTCTAACAGTGAGAAGACTCCAGGTTTGAGCAGTAAGCCAACTTAAAGGCAAGTTGAGCTTGAGAACCGTTTTAGTTCACATAAACATGAAGATGAATGTGTTTGACATCTTTGATCGTGCTAAAATGAAGGATCGTAGTATTTGTGTTGTATTTCAAAGCATTTGCAGTGAGAATTTTTTTAATTTCCTCATCATAATTTTGTAGTCGTCTCTCTTTTTCACTGTGTCCATAATACTTTTTAGTGACACTCCTCTTGACCTGAGTAGGTTTTCTTTGGCTGTGACGCGTCTAAAAAGCAGAACTTCCAAAGAAGTCTGGCTGTTTTTCAGAGTGTGACACATAAAGGAGAAAAAAAGATGTATGTGTCAGTTCAACTCAAAGGAGGACACAAAAAGTTGTCAGTTTAGGACACTTCCTGTCATGACCTCACTGAGAAGTCTCGCCCTTTTCACGACTCTCCTGTTCTGTGTTGTACATATACAGGTCCATCTCAAATAATTAGAATATCATGAAAAAGTTAAATTTGTGTGTGTGGGGGGGGGGGGGGGGGAATCATTTCAGAGAGTGAAACTCACATGTTACATAGATTAAACGTATATAAAAATGAAACATTTGAAGCCTTTTATTTCTTTTGATTTTGATGATTATGTCTTACAAATAATAAAACACCAAAAGTCAGTGTCTCAGAAAATGAGAATATTACATAGTCAGATTTTGGAACCTTTGGCAGTGTGAGCAGGAGTCAGGTCCATCCATTCATCCTTTATCTTTTACCCGCTTCTTCCTTTTCAGGTCATGGGGGTCACTGGTGTCACTGGTGTCACTGGTGTCCATATCCAGCCATCACTGTGCAAGAGACAGGGGACACCCTGGACAGGTCTCCAGTCCATCACAGGGACACATAGAGACAAACAACCATTCACTCTCTCACCTAGGGACAAAATAGTTACCAATCAGTCGAACGTGCATGTTTTTGGTCTGTGGGAGGAAACTAAGTGCCCAGAGAAAACCCACACATGCACAGAGAGAACATGCAAACTCCATGCAGAAAGGTCCCCAGCCGGGATTTGGTCCGGCAACCTTCTCGCTGAGAGGCTGTGGCTCTACCAACTGTGCCACCTACTCCTGCTGGAAAATGAACTCAGCATCTCCAAAACGCTCGTCAGCATCAGGAAGCATGGAGTCTCTAACATGTCCTGCTAGATGCTGCGTTGACTGTGGACTTCAGAAAACCCAGTGGACCAACACCAGCAGAGGACATGGACCCAAACCATCACTGACTGAGGAAACTTCCCTCTGGACTTAATGCAAAATGGATTCTGGACCTCTCCACTCTTCCTCCAGACTCTGGGACCATGATTTACACATGACATGAAAATTTACTTTAATCTGAAAAGAGGACATTGAACCACCGAGCAACTGTCCAGATCTTTGTCTCCTCTGCAGGTAAGACACTTCTGACGTCTCTGGTTCAGGAGTGGCTGGACTTGAGGAATGAGACGTTTGTAGTTCATGTCCAGGAGTTGATCAGCTGATCAGGGTGTGACACCAGGAGTTTACAATATTGAACCTCTTCACAATATTCTAATTTTCTGAGACACTGAGTTTCATTACATGTCAGCCATAAACATCAAAATTACAAGAAATAAAGTCTTGAAATATTTTACTCTGTGTAATTAATCTATGTATGACTTTCACTTTATGAAATGATTGACTTTGAACTTTGGACTTGTAGTGAACCTGGTCTGACCCTTA